CCCCCCCTTCATCCCACCCCACGACTCCCAGGTTGCTTGAATGGTTAACATTCATAAAGGAGTCTTCACTTCCCTTGGAAAGAAAAAAAAAGCACACCCCAGAGTTGGAACATAATATGTATTACAATGTCTAGCAAATAAAAAAGCAATTGGGGAAAAATCTGCATTCTGTTCCCATGGTAACGGCAAAGCACTGTGTTGCCTCAGCCTTGGCCCCACTCTGTTCTGGCACATCGTCTTTAAGGTGCCACAATGTTTTTGTCGTCTTTTTTTTTTTTTTTTTTTTGCCTGATTTGGTTGGAAGCCACCCTCGGTCTCTTTCCCTTTTTCTTCACCTCCCCCGTATTTTCTTATTCTTTCCTCCCCTTTCGAGGCGCCTCCCTCGAGTAAACGAGGAAAAGCAATTCACAAAAAACATCACTACAGTTTTGTGGGAATGATGAGGGACTTCCCCCCTGGCTTGGAGGCTGCTGGCATCCTTCCGAAGCATCATCATCATCGGTGGTAAAGAGAAGGTTCCAGGGAATATATATATGTGTGTGTGTGTGTGTGTGTGTGTGCACCATCAAGTCGAGGATATATATTTATATCCCTCTATTTAGCCAGAAATGGCAGGGAGAAATATATTTTTTTCTGCCTGCCATTCCTTGCTAAATATTGTGGCTGAAGCAAGCTTGTAGGGGGATTGCAATAACATTTTGTTGCGGCTTTCATTAAATATGGTGGCCAGAAAGAAAGAAAGAAAGAAAGAAAGAAAGAAAGAAAGAAAGAAAGAAAGAAAGAAAAGGGGGAGAGGTTGATAAAAATGATATACATGTGACAGAAATTACTGTCCTCCCCCCCGCCCAACCCTATACATGTGACAGAAATTACTGTCCTCCCTCCCCCCCAACCCTGCCACATCCATAACTTCTAGATAGCTCAGTGGTTTCGGTCTCAGGCTGTGGAGCCAGAGGTTGGGAGTTCGATTCCCCCACGGTGCTTCCTTGACAAAGCTTAGACTCCATGATACGTGGGGGTCTCTTCCAGCTCTGCATTTTTATGATGAAAATGATGCGCCATCAAGTCAGGTTAGGAACTTGATAACACGAGTGTGCCTCCCAAGAGAAGGGCCAGCCTGGGTGACCTTGGGCAAGCTGCACAGTCCCAGGGCCCCCCCCCCCCAGAAGGAGGGAAGGGTCAACCCCTTCTGAGTATTTTCTACCTGGGAAAACCCTGAAAAAGAATTGCCATAAGTCAGAATTGTCGTGACGACGCATTACGGTGATTATTCTTGCTAGAATAATACAATCATTCCTTTGATTATACACCCAGCAACAAATCAGGTCCTGCTGCTTGTGATATTTCCCATACACATAATTGTGCCCATTTATTAATCTACGAGTATAGTTTATGCCATGGTATGGCTATGTACTTTCCTTCTTCCTTGTTTTTTTTTTTTTTAAATCACATCCCTTCCCCCCTATCTGACATTAATACAGATATTTTTGTCATGCCGCTGGGGAAGAATGAAAGGGAGGAGAAGAGGTAAGATTTGCAAAAAGAAATGACACCATTTATAGGAAATTAGAGTGAGTTTCAGTAATGCTGGCAATCTTCTTGATCTTGATCTATCAGAATAGACCCGGAGTAATCTGGAGGTGGCAGTGACAGAAAGGGAACTCTATTCCAGCTTTGTTAGAAGTGCTTAACTTTAAAGTAGCCTGAATTACAAGTGAATAATTCCAGTTGAACTTGGTGGAGGTTGCTTCTCATGACACATTCTTAGGATGGTTTGTCCCATGGATCTCTCCAGGGTAAACTTCTGTTCCTACATGGAAGCAAAACCCTTAATAAAACTCTTGTAAGTCAATCCTGTTGTGCTCCTTGTGACTTTTTTTTTGTAGGAAGTGTGTTCAGGATTGTAGCCTTAAGTGAGAGCCTGCGTGTATCTGCTCCGAAGCCAGGCCCATAGAGTTCAGTGGCTGCTACTCCCAGACAAATGTATATAGAATTGCAGCTCAAATCATCCTCTGGAAAAATAGCAACAACAGAATGACCATGCTTCAGTTGGGTTGAAGTGTGATCATCAATTTGCTTTTCTGCTGTCTACCAAAGGTTCTTTAGAAGATACTCAGTACCTTCTTTTCAAATATTGAACAGAGACACAAGAGTGGTTTTTGAATGAGATTTTGTAGGAGCTAACTACACACTGGAAATAATTTGGGAGATGAGTGGAAACATTTGCGTGGACATTAAGTTGTAGCCTTTGCTATCGGTTTGAAAGGACTTTTGAATCTAGAATTCATGCGACCAAAAATCAGTTAAGTTTTAGGGTGGATCTTACGGGGTTTTCTTTTAAAGTCTATTGAATCTCGTTCTCATCCATGTTCTTACAGTTTTGGCCTTAGATTTCTCTTCATGTGAGGAATTTCACTGGGATTAGGAGCAGTGGCCATGCAGAGTTCAGATTCCCTGTCTTAATTCATGATGTTCAATTAATTAGCAATCTTCAATTTCAAGCTTGCCCTGTGACTATTGTGGACTAGTTAGTAGTTGGGAGTTGAATTTTTCCTGCAGTTTGATTCAGCGATATTAGGGAAGATTGATCTTTAGGTTGCTTTTTGCCCCCGGGCCGTTGTGTCCCTGCCTGTTCCATTTCAGGCATACATGGAAGTTCCATCTGTCTGAAAGGCTAAGAGATGATGGCATGTGTGAGTCGGCCACAACACAAAAGTTGGAATTTCCACACAACACGTGAATCATAAGACTTTCCCCCCTCCCTCCGATTGGACAAGCTTTTCATTCTTCTTGAAGCTGTTGCAGGTCATATAAACAGATGGCAAGCGTGCATGTGTGAATAAGCCCTCTGTGGAAAACCTTAGTGATAACCAGAGATGGCATGGTCAATGCCTGTATATGTTTGGGAGCTCCTTGTTAGTTTCAGATACCTTTTCTTGAATGTCTTAGGTGGGCAAGTTGAACACCAAAATGGATGCTCACTGTTGAAACCCACATGCCCATTTTGATTGGTCTTTGTAAAGGCAAGATCGATTATTGGCTTTTACTCTTGAACTAAGACGACTTCATTGTGTTTGCTGTTTACTTTATGAAACAGACCTTGCCCCTTTGTACATCTCATCATCTCAAGGTGCTGGATTTAAAGTCACATCAAACCACAGAGCTCCTTGGCTGGCAAGGAGGTCACGGTTGTGCATTGGTGTGCGTCTTCCAGATGGAATTCATGGTGGCGTCCCAGAGGTTCCCAAGTATCTCCCTTGGAGATTGGCTTGACCAAGCTGCGAGGAATGCTAAGAGGAGACAAAAGTTTCATCTTCTGAAATTAGGGCACAGGCCATAGCTTTGTAAGTAACATCTCCCTTACATATACATGGTGCTGAGCCTGTTTTGTTTTTGTTAATACAGTTCTGCACCTTGAGTAGCTCCTACAAAGTTCAAACTAAAAGCTTGAGTGGATCACCACTCTGTTGACATCAGAGTTTTGTGTCTGCAACATGTTCCACTCCATTTGCAAAGCTTGTGTGACACTTGGGGAGCTTTATGTTGTTGTAGAAGCAAAAGTTCACCAATTGAGATGAACTTATGTGCCGGTTTACCTTCGCAGGGCTTGGTGTCTTCAGCATGTTAGGCACTGGGAGCCCACCTGTGTAGGAAAGGCTGTGTTCCTAAATGAGAATCTTGGATCTCCAGTTGGTGGTTGATGACTTTAATCTCAGGACTGCTGTTAATCGACTCTGCCCTTTAGGTGGCATATTAGACAGAGGAACTATCCAAGGTGCTGAAAACTATACCTAAAATAGATCCAACACATTGGATGACTCTTGTAAGGGGAATCATAAAGCGTGGAGTGGATTCACAGCACCCCTGGAATGGGAATTGCCAGCTGCCACTAAACTAGACTGCCAAAGGATGTGTGATATCTAAGAAGCAGGGCACTCGAACTAGTTGCTAGTTGCTTACTGGTCCCAGTTCAAGGTGGTAGTTTTTAGCCATTAAAACCCTGAACATTGTAGGGCCTGGTTGTCTAAGAGATCATCTATCCCTTTATGAATCTGTCCGGGTGTTCAGTCTTGAGAATGCTGATACCTGTGG